ATTACGAACTTTCGTAATAAAAATGTATTATAATCGATAATGTTACCCACACATAAAATCAATTATATTAAATTCATATAAAAAAATCAATCGTAATATAAATTTATATCGAAATTTAACTAAAATTCATAATCCAAATTTATATTAAAACTAGAATAAATATTTTTAACTGAACATATTAAAATCTCANATTACGAACTTTCGTAATAAAAATGTATTATAATCGATAATGTTACCCACACATAAAATCAATTATATTAAATTCATATAAAAAAATCAATCGTAATATAAATTTATATCGAAATTTAACTAAAATTCATAATCCAAATTTATATTAAAACTAGAATAAATATTTTTAACTGAACATATTAAAATCTCATTATAAACTAAATTTATAACAAAAATACATATATTTTAATTGATATAAAGTTTGTCCCTATCTAAAATCAATTATATTAAATTTGAATGAAGAAACCATTGATCAGCTTATCAGGTCCGAATTAGGCAGAGATAAAAACCGACGGCGTCACACCGCGATAACCGTCGAAACCCAGGTATTTCCTGCCTCCGACCCGTCATAAATCCGGCGTCTCCCGGAGTCCCGGATCCCCGGCGATTTCCTTATCTACCGGGTGTCCAGGAAGTCGGAATCTGGTCAGGGACGGTTAGCTTGGATCAGATTATTTTTAGTCACGCGCTATTTTCAGTCACTGTGTCGAACGAAGTCGCTATGGAATCAGTGCGCGGACCAGCTTCGAGGAAGCGGCTCGTTTTCACGCAATTATCCGCCGCGGCTCGCGAGAAAACCGTCCATCTCGAGGGAACACGCTCGAACGTGGTTGAAACCAAGCGAGGATAGGGTGTTTAGTGTTTTTTTTTTCTCCGTAACGATCGTTCTTCCTCGGCGATGTTTCTGCGACATTTGTAATCGTGTCTCGAAGAACCGGGACAACGAAGGAACAATAGTTTCGAAAGCTTTTAAAGCTGCTGAAAAGTGTATGGACAAAGTTCGCTAGTTACTTTCATGTGACTTTGCCGCGTTTCTTTTTTCATTTTATAATCGTCCGATCGTGAAATGGTGCGTTGACAGTTTAAAACTTAGGTGCGAAGAGTGCGAGGAGACCCGGAAAGAAGAGAATGATTTCTGTGGGAAATATTTTCATCGTTAGATTAGACTGCGAATTTATGGTAAAATTGGGTGGTCGCAATTAAAACTAGCAGAACGATTAAAGCAATTTCAAAACGTCGATCCGTTGTTTTCAAACTGTTGAAATGATGAAAAAATGAATGAACTTGCTACCTAGTTTCTATTTTCCGCGATCGACGCGAACAATTTTAATTTCCCATAATAATCCGCAGCCTGCTTATGGCACTCGGTTCCTCGATGTTCCTTCCGCGTCTCCGCATTTTTCGAATGCTATCGCGGCACTGCTAGCCGCGAGCCGCAAAGGAGAAAGAAGACGAGTCCTCGAGCTCTCTTAGACCGCTCAAACTCGTTAATAACGGTGAAGAGATCAACCTGTTGTTTGAACTTCGATCTTCAACCGATTCTTCAATCTTTCGTCCGTTCATCAAA